CCCCCCCCCCCCCCCCCCCCCAGTTGTCAAGACGTTGAAGGTCACAAACTCCTTGAAGCTTCCTCTGTGGTCCAGGACTCCTAGAGCCTCATCCATTGATCTGCAATGACTTTGTATATTTACTTGTACTGCGAGCTCTCGAGGACAGGAAACACTTTATTGGTCCACATGTTGGTCCCCGGTGCCTAGAACAATTTGCCAATTTTTGTGACTGAAATAACATATATATTCAAAATTAAGACTGGAATTAGTCCTTTCAGTGACTCACTAACAAGCAAAGCTTTTGATTATTTAGAATAGTCCAAATCACATTAATCTCTACTTCCCCGAATTCCTACAGCATATTTAAGACAATACGGACAATACGGTTTCTCTAAATTTGGATGAGTAAAGAAGTAACATATTAATTAATGTCTCTCTTCCAATTAATTAGGTTTGAAGACAGAGCCTGACCATATACATCTTTTATATACCCATAGTTTCTCTACGTCACCTAATTTGGGACACATACTAGGAGATTAAAACATACTTTTCAATTGACTAGCTGATTACACGTAAAAGTATCATTATTTTGGAAAGCTCCACAAAGTGGAAAAAAAAAATGGTAATCCAAATGACAAAATAGACGTCTACAATGCCAGTGAGTAATTATCTACACGATGCTACTTGACTGTCCACTTTTCTTTGGTTGTGGAAAACTGACTTCTGATTTTATTACACTTTAAATTCTTTTAAAATGTTATTAACTTGCTTTGGACAATGGCAAACTACAACTGGTTCCCCCCCCCCCCAGAATATATTTTGTTTTTGAACTATGACTTTGAGTAACTTTGTGATAATACTGTATGTCGCTAGAGCATTCTTTCACTTAAGATTCTCATCGTGATTTTTCATGAGTTTTTCTGAAATTCCTAATTGGAAAATTATTTCTGGCCCCACTCAGATATTATACAATCTTAAGGCTAAATCAGACTATCAGACTGTTAAAAAGCAAGGGCACAGTTCTAGACAATGACAGTTGATTAATTATTCAGTGGGGCCAGATGGATATGTACAGGTTATGTCCTTTTGCATGTTTGAATTTATAGTGAGTTAAATCTGTTTACACAGGCGTTGATTCCATGCCAGTGAGGGACACGGAAGATGTCTGTTCCGTGCCTGTGAGGGACAAAGAAGATGTTTCTTCTGAATACAATTGACTCAGTTACCTGAGTTGTGTCTGAAATGGAAAGCGTAACTGGTGTGAGTGATGCAAAATCATAGTCAAAACATCTTCACACTATGTCTCCTTTCCTATTCTGGGGATAATTGAAATCTTCTTGGACTAGGAATCATTAAAAAAGCAAAAACTGGATTTTCCTTGGGCACTGCCGTGGACTGACGCGATCCTAGGCAAGTCATTTATTTCATCTCTTTAAGTATTCTTTTTATTATTTCAGAGAAAGAGGGGAACAGGATTTAAAGGGTTTGTTTTTTTTTTTTCAACGTTTATTTATTTTTGGGACAGAGAGAGACAGAGCATGAACGGGGGAGGGGCAGAGAGAGAGGGAGACACAGAATCGGAAACAGGCTCCAGGCTCTGAGCCATCAGCCCAGAGCCTGACACGGGGCTCGAACTCACGGACCGCGAGATCGTGACCTGGCTGAAGTCGGACGCTTAACCGACTGCGCCACCCAGGCGCCCCAAGGGGAACAGGATTTAAAGCGAGCTGTATGCTGACTGCAGAGAGCTCGATGCGTGGCTCACACTCACAAACCATGAGATCATGACCTGAGCTGATGTCGGATGCTCAACCGACGGAGCCACCCAGGCACCCCTCTTTTATCTCTTTAAAACTCCGTTAACTCAGAAAAGTAGAAATGGCAACGTCCAAACTCCCTATCTTGGAGTTTTCATGAGACCCAACAGATGTAACCAAGAGCTTTCCAAAGCTTAAGAACTTTCGAGGAAATCCACTTTCTTCGAGATAAACCCCCACTTCCGTGGAGGAAGGAACGCTTTTAGGTCAAACTCCCTACTTCTTTCCTGAGATTCAGCTTCCACTGGGAGAGTTTGCTTTTCCAGTGGGAGCTACACAACAGGAGGGATTCTGATCCAGGCCTCACACTCTTCACTAGAGTATGTGGTGACTGCTCCCCGAATGCCGTCTGCAGTCTCCATGATAGAGCTTAGCATCTTCCGTTTGTGGCCCCTTCCTGATTTCCACCCTGCCATTTTTAAACCTTCCCAAGCAGAAGTGGCTTTAAGCATATCCAGATGCCTTGAACACTAGACCCAGGAAATGACCGGGAGGCAGTTACTTCTCTGGTTTGTCTAATTCCCATGTCCTAAAGAAAGTTATTACCCTTCCGTGGATGGTTAACATCAAGAATGTTCTCCCTGGGCCACCTGGCTGGCTCAGTTGGTAGAGCATGTGACTCTTGATCTTGGGATCATGAGTTGGAGCCCCACGTTGGGGTGTAGAGATTAGTGGAAGGAAGGAAGGAGAGGAGAGGAGAGGAGAGGAGAGGAGAGGAGAGGAGAGGAGAGGAGAGAGGGAGGAAGGAAAGAAAGAAAGGACAGAAGAAAGCTCAGCCCCTTCAAGATACCTTCCCTACCTACCCCTGGTATCTCCAAATGAAAACCTTATCAGAATACAACAGAATAACGGTTTGGTTTCATTTCAGTTACGGCAATAAAAATAACCCTTCTTGATACTGTGTATACATTATCTCTTTTCATCCTTATGAGGCTGATACTGGCATCCCCGTTGCACAGATGAGAAAGCCACATCTTCACATTAATGGCCTGCTTCAGTCGGTAAGAGGAATCTGGTTGTGATCCCAGAGCCCCTGTGCTATTCTGCTTCTTCATTAAATACGTATTATTGTGACATCCTGTTTAGTAACCTGAGTATTTGGAGAAGAATGTTAAGGGCAAATATTCTGGGCAGAATTAGTCACCTTCCTCCCCCA